GATGGTCTAATTTCGTAAAGAGAAGGGAAAAGAATCAATTGTGCAGGTTGTTTCGTTACTAAATTTCGTAGTCGAATGTTCGAGATCGAAGAAAAATGGACTCACGAGATAGAGAAAAGCCTAATCAACGCTACTATACAGAGAAAACCTAACCGAAAAGCTTAATGTCGGAAATATAAGCGAAAGAATTGAACTGTGTAGCACGGTTTCACAGTCACTCGTACTTCCGTCACTTTATTTCACATGTGCACCTTCACTTTTCTCCACATGTGATTTGTTACAGCCGAACAAATGTTCACAGTTATTTATCCTGTTCTTGGTAAAGTTCTCACAATTTGTTAAACTTGTGTTGTGGTCCTTTCACATATATCACGACGATGTTATGAAGGTTGTTTAATGTTCCGAAATAATAACTAATACTGCGTGTTAATGTTCTTAAATATTTCTTTAATCAATTCCAGTAATTGGAAGACTGATCAAGGATAACACTACTTCACGAAACGTTCTGTTCAAGGACTGAAAGTTTCACTGCAACGCGTGTAAATATTGCATCATGTGCTACCGGCACGTTGGATCGTGTCGACTAGAAGTGTTCTGCGATTGGTCAAAGCTGTGCTTCGTTTTCGCGGGAATATGCTTCGTCTTTGAAATAGCCTTGTGTTAAAGTATCGATGTAAAATATCAAATGTTATTTCTTATATTTATTAATATCAATGAAGCAAATATAAATATATTTTTGTTACGGAAAATTCCAAATTTCTATAATTAATTCATGAACCTGAATTATTAATTATTCCATTATACTAATGGAAAGATAAACCATTAGTATCTTCGGCAATAGTTCAAATATTCTATGCAATAATCACCAATAATGATTTAAATTACAACGAATTCATATCTAAAATTATAGTAGAAAGTTCACCAAGGCTGTGCCTTTATGATGCAATTTTGAAAGTTGATGAGTTAATTACAGACGAACATGAAATCACAGATGAAGATGAGTGAATTTGTTCTTCATAAAAAGAAAATGAAACTGCAATGGTTATATGCTTAGGTACTTTTTATTCACTTTGACAGTTTCATATATACAAGTTAATTGTTAACGACATATAGATATTAGAATCTGAGTAGATGTCCATATCATGGACCATTGTGAGAAAAAAATGTTTCACAATACGCATCATGTAATAATTATCATTATAATAACCATATATATATGTAATAACATTCATAGACATATACACACTATTGCAAATGACTCTATTCAAATACATGAGTCATCCTAATAATTCTAGATATTAGTTTATCTTGCATTTATCTCTCTTATTGTGCAAGAGCTGATTGTGAGCTAAATTTTGGATCAGTTAAATGATCATGAGCTGACTTGTCCTTACCACTAAACTTTTCATTTAATATCACAGATTCTTCTTCATCTTCTTCTGCTTCTTCACTAAATGATAAAAGATTGAAATCTCTGTAACAAAATTTTTCATTGCAAAGAATAATACTATCATGGCTAAATGCTACAAATATATATATTTACTTTACTCCTGCTGTTTTAGTTTTTGAACTGTCCTCTCCTTCTTCACTTTCCTATACTATTATTCTTGATATAATAATAGAAAATGGATTGTTCAGTATTATAGTTTTTATTAATCTTGGAGGATAAAGTGGTTCATCATTCTACAAAACAAAGAAAATATTATATTTATAGCAATGCTTGATATATTTTCTTGTGAACATTAAACTTACCTCATTTACAAGTGCTTCTTCAAGTTTAAGCATGTTATATATAGTTTCTCCAGTAACTTTACCAAAGATTGTATGCTTATTCTGCAAATCTGGTGTAGAGCTAAGAGTAAAGAAAAACTGGGAACCATTGTCATCTTTTCCATCATTAGCCATAGCAATTAAATCTCGTCTCCAAAAACGTAATCTTGTATGAAATTTGACCTCAAACACATATAACCAATAATTAGTTTTGAATAAAAAAGAAATTCATTTCATTTTTAAATATAGTCTCACTTCAAATGGTTCTCCATATATTTTACCACCTTTTCCTATACCTGTGGGATCACTACCTTGTGTTACGAATCCTTTGATAATTCTATGAAATATAGTGTCATCTTAATAACCTTCCATACATAATTGTATGAAATTTCTACATGCTTTTGGAGTTTCTTTTGCCCATAATTCTAACACAATATCACCAACAATTGTCTTCATTATAACCTAGTTATAACAAATACATTAGTTTTATTAATTTAAAATACTTTTAAAACCAAATTTATTAAAATTTATTATTTATTATTCTAATTCAAATTAGAAATTATTTGATTTATTAATATAGAAGTTTTGAAAGTAAATATTGTATATCGGTTAAATTTTTAAAAACAAATATGTAATCCATTGAAATATTATTAACTAGTACTTATTACTTCACCCTTAGTGGCTGGCTCTTGGATGTAAATGGTACTCGTGTTTGTAAGACCTCTATAATAAAAAAAATCCTTCGTCAATAATATTTCATATTAAATCTTGAGTTATTTACAAATCAGTCAACCAAATGGTTCTTTTCTCGAATAATCATCAGCAAGTAAGACGTACCTTTTACCTCCTTTTAATGTTGACTTTATTGGTCCAATCAATTCCATGTGCAACAGCCCCATTATTCCTGCACTCCATCATTCTGAAACATAATACTTTAGCAATTATCATTGGCTTTGACCATAGACATTAATATTTATGTAGATCTGGAATACAACCTACCTTTCAATCTCACTGTATTCTCTATATCTAGTTGTTATAAGAGGCCATCACCTAAATTAATTTTATTTCTTTTTGTATGCCTAAGCCATCTCCATTTTATGAATCTTTATTTCACCATCAAAGATTTCTATCTTGTATGTCATATGGTTAGCTGTCCTAGAATCCAATAGACATATAATAACTTACATGTTTGTATTGCTGCTTCAATTTTTTCTCGCTATAAAATATAATTCTTGACATCTCATGGTTCTACGCTGCTGATATTCCATGAGTCCAATATTTTTCTACTGTTGCACATGCCTGTTTATTTCAACACAATATTGTCTTTTCACAATCAAGCTCTGCTATCACTAATAAAAGGTGGAAAAAAAATGGCTCATAACTTACACCATTTAATTACAACTGAAGGTTATGTCAATACAAAGACTTACATTCTTACGCATGATACAGGCACACCTGCATGCACACAATAATGCTTCCAGCGTATGTTTGCAATTTTTTCTCACTTCCTATGCACTCTCTTGTTCACTTGGAGAAAAATTAAGAAATCAGTTAATTTCTGTGATTAATTTATGAACTTTTATAATTGTGTTGTAAAGGCGTACCTTTGCATATTTGCCGCCTGCCACGTAAAGAAATAAATGCTGATTGTCTAGTTAAAACCACTCTTTGGTCTGAGTTTATTAAAGAATGTAGAATACTTTATGAGATTCTTAAGCGAATAAAAAGAAGGGAAGAGAATGTGTGTTAGTTATTTATGTCGTTTTATTACTTTATTTATTTCGTCCACCACGTCACGTGGATTTAGGCGACCTGTTTGAATTCTTGCTGTACATACCAATAGTTTTTCATTAATTACTATTTTCTGCGTAATCAATTTATGAACTTCATGTATTATATAAACGATATCCTAGGGCATGTTCACATATCATTTTTGTTCACATTTTGTTTCTAGTTTCGTTTAGTATTAAATATTTTCACGGAAGATCGTGACGGTTGTTGTTTCGAAATCATGTACACCACCAAACAATAAGTAATAACTAACCAATTAGCGTTAAATTCTGTACGAAAATTGTATAAGAATGTTGCCTAAAGTTCCAGCTTTGCAATGCAATAATAAAAATTCATAAATTAATCACGGAAATTGAATTATTCGTTAACTTTTCACTGTGAAAGCCCTTCTATTCTTTTCTATTCAATCTCTATCCTTGTCTGTCACTTGACGAGCTCTTCGACGACCTCCTCGTCTATTCTGTGTTCCTATTATTTTTCTGAGTTTCGGGTCCAAAATCATAGATAGTGCTGATCGCCGGCAGTAAAATTTTTCATCTCAATATACAATAAAAACTTAACACCATAATAAATCAATTCTGTAGTAGAAAATTAATAAATTTCCAAGTTTCTCTAATTAAATCATAAACATTTATAGCTGTACAGCAAAGTTGGAATTATAGCAACATTCTTATACAATGTTTAATTTAATAATTACTATTTATATCAGCGATAGGTTTTGTATTTCCGGTATTTAGTAATTATTTATATTTTCGTTTTCTTTCTGTAGCAAATAAGGTTGCTATAGAAAACTGTTTTTCTTGCATAATATTCTTATTATTTTGTAATAAATATATACTTGCATAGGAAAGAGTAAAAAATAAATTTTTTTATTAAGAAATTTTATTTACAATGTTTTGCTAGGCAAAAAATAAATACAAAATAAAAAATAGATTGAAAAAACTACTAAAACTATAGACAGTAGTCAAACGCCGGACCTGAGTGAAAGGAATTTTCGCGTGTTCCCCTAACTCCATTTGAGAAAGAATGGAAATAAATCTATAGATACAGAAGTGATGAAACTTTAATCGTAAATATCTCAAAATGTATTAAGTAGTGGCGGCTATAATGATATATATTGTTGAATTGCATGACGAAGTCTAGAAACTGCAAAGTTACAATTAAATCGATAACCCGAAGGACTTGCACTCTCCTTATCAGTTGGCAGAATTCATAAGATCATCTGTCTATCCTATAACTCGTTTCTACTAACAACAGGTATATTATCGACCGTCCAAATACCTGCCTATTCCCTCCTTACTTGCCGTCGATAAACGACGTCTTTATTAATCTCAACACACTTATTCAAAACAACTGCATTCGAAATCGAAGTAAAAGGAACAGCATATAGAAACCAGTAAATATTTTATTACAAAACGCACGTACAAAAATCGTCGTATTCAACTGCACACTCCTTTCTGAACATTCGGTCTGCACACTGGTTCAACAATGGTCACAGTTTCTCCCCCGCAGGGTGGACAATTAACAGCGCATGGTTGAGCTGGTGGACAAACAGGAGCGCAACATGGATCACAGGGTTGAGAACAGGGTGGACAACAAGAGCAGCTAGGAGGAGTGCATATCTTCATTTCGCACGGGACACGGCACGGTGGACAGGGCTGGCATGGTTGCAGGCACACAGGCTTGCAGTCCACCTCGCAAACGTATTGCATCTCGAACGGCAGGTCGTTTCGCACGGTGAGGCACTTGCCTTGGATTAGATAGCAGTAGGCCATAGCCAGGACGGGGTTACCGCTGTAGGGTAGGTAGTGAGGATCGGGCAGATGTCCGTGCATGTCGATGTGCGTGTATTTTAAGGGAGAACAGCTACAGGCTCCGTGCTGCAATCGATACGAGGGGATGAGGAAGGGTGGTCGAACTGCGCGGACCGGAGGGAGGTAGGCCGGCTAAATGAGGCTTTAAACGTCATTGTAATGGAAAAGCTTTTTAATCTGCCATTAATGCCTCCTCGCGGTACTTATGTTAAGCTGATCGCCCATAAAAAATTCATCTCGTCATCCCAGAAAGAGCAGACCGCTCCGCGGTGTGTAGAAAATTGCTGACTGACGACTGCCTAAAAACGCCGTAAACGTGCTGTATTTTCGAGTATTACGCCATACGATTGTATCACCGTTTTCGAAGCTATCCTGCTTAAGAGTAACATTACGCGAATGAACGATACGCCCATGGACCACGATGAGACTGTAATCCGAATCTGAGGGAAGAAAACGATTAGACGCGTTAGGTAACCATCCCGTAGTCTACTCTGAGACTTCTAGTCGTCGGGAAGTCGGTTCTTTGCGCTTTTATAGGGTAAGGACTGTGGTAAGAGCGACAGGAAGGAATACGGGTCAAAAATTCAAGAACGTCTTGTCAAAAAGGCATATTTCACTCGAAGGTCTCTAGCTAACCGCTCTCTGATGCCTCCTCACGCGTGGAGGCTTCTCCCTGTCGGTGCTTTTCGTTCTCCATCGTTATGGAACAGTCGAGAGTTTTCGCAAATACAGAATTATCGCGATCCGTTTGTCAGCGACCGACGAGACCCATTTTACGACCACCGTTGAGGTCCGTTTGTCGCTGACTTTCTTACAATAACAAGATATAACGGTAAAAATTGAAAGACGGAAGAGTAGCTTCGTAATACTAGCTGGTGCAACGAGAGAATTGAAAAGTATTAACGTTAGTTGACTTGCTCGATGTGGCGAACCACTTGGCCAGGGCTAAAAGTGGAGCACCTGTTGGCAGTTCGGGATAATTGCCAGCAGTCGAGGATACGTCCAAGTGACGATATTTCAAAGGCGTTTCCGATCGACTGTCGCGCTAAAAGTAACTGGTCTTTCATGCCGGAGGAACGAAATAAATCTTGCACGTAATAGATAGCGAAGGATAGTATACCTTGTCCAAGCCAGAGGCCACGATCAGAAAAGCGCATGGACCTTGGTGTCCCCTGTTCATCTGTGCATTGTCAGCAGACCTCGCTCCTTGGAAGACATCGTCGTCCGATCGAGCCGCGTGGTAATGAAAGTCTTCTCTACGTAACCTTGATATCTCTATCGGATCGCCCATGGTCTCTCCGGAAGCCTGGAGCTTCTCTGCATTGCTGACTAAACGGGCCACGGCGTTGTCTATGGCGATCTAGAATAAACGACATCCATCTTGCACACGAAACTATCTCGAAGATCACAGTTTTCGAAGGACTCACCGAGTATCCTGGACCGACAGTGTGCACCGCGTGATTCGTCAGTGTCGCGACGGTGAAAATGTGCGGATTAACCGAGCACAGGGCCATTTCTTTGATGTGACAGAGAGCATCGACCATGGCCAATCGGCCTTCGGCATCCGTGTTCCCGATGCGAACCCTCACACCCGATTTCGCCGTGACAATCTCGTCGGCCACGTACGAATTTTCACCCACGCTATTCCGTACCACGCACAGTGCAGCCACCACCTTCACCGTCGGTGGTTGCAGCAGATTCACCACCTGGGTACCCAAAATCCTCTCTTGGAAAGCGCACGCGAGGAACGTCGATTCGAGCCGTAGAATCGCGTACTTTTTCATTTAATCTTCTTATCGTCTCGATTAAACATTAACGGCAATTACACGCCACTGTTGTGCCATCGATTGCCACGATTCCAGAAGCGTGCTCATAATCGCATCGACCAAATTGCCGGGTTAATCGTCGTAAAATGAAACGCTCGACGCTAAACCGCAGGTATAGATTACACGCGATACGATCTATAATTTCCCGGCCGCCTCTCAACAAATCCGAAACGACCGATGGCCCCGATGCGACCTCCGAAAAAAGCGGAACAAAGCGGAAGCGAACGAAAGGAACAGAGTGACGCGCGTTATCGAGGCTTTCAATCCGAAACGATATCTCGCGACTAAAACGCACCAACGAACCCCGTCCGTCATAGCGAAGTACCTGCATGAATCCGGCACACGCCGCCGCGCCGCATTTGTCCCTCGACATACCGAGCATCGAGCCGCCGACCTTGATGTCGACGCCGCCGGTATCGTAAGTGACACCCTTTCCCACGAGCATAACCGTTTCTAGGATGCAGGCGGGATTAGCCGGCTCGTAGGTGAGGAAGATGATCCTACCCGCGTGTCGCGGTATCATCGAGGCGGCACGGTTCACGCACGCGAACAGAGGGTACTCCTGGAGCAATGTCTCCTGGTCGGACACCACTTGCATCGTCACGTTCGAGCCGCAAAACACCTCTGCCAGGTACTCTTCTACCCTTATCGGCGTCATTCTTTCCGGGTCTGCGCCACCTGCGAGAAAATCGCGCGAAATTAGCGTTGGAAATGACACTTAGGGCTGTTATCGGGGTTAATTCGCTTCACACGCTAGGAAATCGGGAAGATCGGACTGTCTGGAGGAGCAGGACGGAATGGAGGGAATAATTTCGGTTCGCAGGGATCACTGTGCTCTTTCAGTGCCGTTTTTACCCGCGATGCGCGCCAGAGTGAATTGTTGCCGCCACGTAGAGGGCAGAGCTGACTTAACGGCACCGCAGAGAGTGCAACGTCGGGTTGCCGTTCTTACGGGGCGCGCGCACGTGAGTTCTCGCCGCTCCGACGGCTGCGAAGTTGAGTTATCGTTACTACGGAGAATTGTCTCTTAACTTTCTCGAGATGTACACGGTTGGCCATTCTTTCGCGCGGCTTCCATCGAAGCTCCTGCCGGGGATTTTATTGACGTAGGGCCGGGGCACGCGAAAAGGCTGGCGAAGGTGGAGGCCGGCTGGAAAATGGAAGTGGTGCCGGGTACTTTGCACGCTCCGAGGCTCTCTCAGTGACGCGAGTAGTTTCTTATCTGGCCCACACGTTCCGGTGAAATAAGAAAAATGGTAAAACGACGTGGCGAGATGGAGTCTAACGAGCCTAGAGATTTTGGCTCAAATGTAAATCTATGGCGTACTCGGCGAGCCCACGCTGCCTTTTTTCTTCCCCTATTATGTTGCGTTACGAGGTTAACCTCGTAACACGAGCAAGATTCCGCTTAATTTATAGAATAATTTTCTCGTTAAAGATCATCAAAAAATACGCGCCCTCCTTTCTTATTCGCTGCAAGCGCGAACCGTCCTTTTCTCCTCCTCCTCTCTCTCTCTCTCTCTCTCTCTCTCTCTCTCTCTCTCGGCTTATTATTTCAGCCGAAAGGATCAGCATTTTCGTCCCCTCTGATATTATTTTACGTTAACAGAGGTACGAGGGAAGCGAATGGAAGATTACCAGGAATTCCCTTTAAAATTCACACGCGACACGTTTCGTCCATCGTTTCCGCGTACAAAAATTCCCGATTCCGCGTTCTCCGTCGGACGAATTAACACGGTGAACGGTGGGTTCGGAATGAACATGCCGCGAACGAGGCGGAAAAAATTTCGGCGAGAGAATGTCGAGCGGAAACCGGGAAACGGAGCAGTTGCTTTTCAAGTGTCCCGGGTAAAGGTACGACCTGGTATTTCAAACGAAAGGGGAAGCGCATCGGCGCCGTGTCTCGCCGCGTCACGTCGCGTAGCGTCGCGCGGAAACGTGTATACGCAACTTTTTCCCGCTTAATTAAACGCCCGAGATTCTTGCGCGGAACGGGGCCCGGCCTGGCCTGAAATTTACTCGCACCGACCGCGTGGAACGCGAATAAAACGTCGAATCGCCGCGACGACGGCGGAGGAAAAGTATTTGGCCGATGACCCGTGGAAAATGGTCCTCCGACACGAAGGCGGTCAACGTTGACCGAACGGCGAGGCGGAAATTTAATTGAAAATCCGTTCGAATCGCTCGCTCCGAGATAAAGAGCCCGTTAATGTCGAAAGCGGGGAATATTAAAGCCCCCAGAGGGGATCCGTTAAAAAGCACAGACGCGAAGATTCACGCTCGAGCAGCTACGAGTCGAAACGAGCCGGGAGCCGCGAGCGATTTTTCCGTCTCTCCGTCCTATTTCTCCGAGGAGAGGTCCGCGAAACGGAAGTCGGGGCCATTCTTCGGCGAGTCCGCTCGATAAAGCAGCGGGAATCTCGGCCCGGGAACGACTTACCGATGTCCCTCGCGATGTATCTTCCGCTCTCGAGCGCCGCGGCCAGCTTCACTATACCCTGAAGCTTCTTACTGCAAATCGGACTCCAGACGGCCAATTGACACGCCTTGTAGCACCGGTCAGGGCACGTCTCTCGCACCTCCAGCGGCTGTATAGAACCGGAAATGGTATTCGTGGTTGCAGAACGTATTACGACGATCAGCCTTCGACAATCTGTCGGGACTAATAACGTCTCTTATCATCGAACCCCGTGCTCCAGAGTTTGCCGGCGAATAGAAGAATAGCCGTGGCGTCGGAAGAATCGTGGACGGGTTTGTCGGAAAGGTCAGGGTCTCGGGCGGATCGATGGTCAATCGGAAACTTACGTCAGTCGCGTTATAATTTTACGGTTCGACGTTGTAATTTTGCAGCGGGGACAAGGGTACGATGAGAAATAAGAAAATAGGTCGCGGACACGTTCGAATGATCCATGACCACGGAGACAATAACCCCGTAAATCAGACGCCTCGAATTTCCACGCGTATTCGTTACGCGAGCCCATAGATCTCCCGTATCCGTGCTTGTTTCCTCGAAAGAGGACTAAAGAGGACTATTCCGAAAGAAGCTCGCCTGAACTGAAAAATCGATACGGAATTAACCCCGAGGAGGACGAGGACCGTGTCCTAAGGCGATTCCCGGGGTGTCAAAAAAGGACGCGGCAGCGTTTCCGCTGAAATATCGTTCCCTCAAAACGTGTCTGCTGCGAGCCATTAACAGGAACAAAAACGTCACCGGTGTAATCCCACGAGTCTCTCCTTCGTAACCTGGTATCAGGTGTAATAACTTTTGCACGGGTCCCGTCACCAGGCTGAACTTCATCCGCGGGGAGGGGAAAGGGGGAGGCAGCGAAGGAGAGAAAAATAGGGGGGAAAAAAATGGGAAAAACGGAATGGATTGTACGTTCGCGACACCTGACACGGATCGGGCAGAGGTGAACGCTCGCTGGGAAGCAATGGCGGAAGAACGACGGCGGAAG